TTGAATTCGCCATGACTACCAGCCACGGATGGCCCTCTGCGTTGTTAACTTCGCCAAAGCGTTCATTGCTGTCCGTCGTGGATCTCCGTAGAAGACAACGGTCAAGATGATCAGCATGAACGAGGCTTAGTAGCGCTCCACCACTGCGAGTTTTGGTCCGTGAAAATCTCTTCCAATCGTTTGGCATCCGATTTGGCGTCCGAGGTCGCTATTCTGTTCAACTATAAGACTGACCAGACTCCTGGACGGAAACTAGGAGGTTTTGAGTGCTTTGAGTTCGCAGCCGGACGCCTAATGGCTTATCTGGGATACGCTGACGGTATCACCCTGCTAGTATCAAGTTTTTGCGAGCGACAGCCTCTAACGCGACCCATGAATGATGTCGTTAAGTCGGATGGTGTATAGGTAAACGCTGGCAAAAGCGAAGTACGTTCGAGGTGCATCCTCGACTAGGAAAAGGCAACCCTCGCGAGTGATGACTGTCAGCTTAAAGAAGCAGATATGTTCCGGTATCTCGAGTTAAGTCTGCTGTCGAATGGACGTGACAAGGACGGCTGGATCAGATGTGATCATAACTGTATAAAGTAAGTAGTTATTCATGCTATTTATGTCGTAAAGGAGCAGGTCTTTTTTTCAGTAGACTTATTATTCATATACGAAAAAATCGGTATGCTGGCTTTTGTCCCTGACTTCCGAGGTTAATTCTGATGGGTGCATGCTAGGGTGGCAAGGAATTGTAAATTCCATTCCAACAATGGCATCACCAAACCATAGCGAATAATAATGCGACCGTACATTTTTACATAAAGTCCCGCTGACAGTTCAGGACGTTCACCATTATGCAGCAAACGAGGAAAGGGGTGACTACCAAGTAAAGCAACGGCGCCTACCCTCAGACTTCACTACCCAACCATATTATCTCTTCTTTTTCCCGAGTAAAACATTATCAATTCGAATTAAAGTCATAAGTCATGGGCCGTAAGTCAGCTCAAAGACGTATTAGTCGCAGTTTAAGGCTTACTTATGTTGTCGGGCTTAACACGAGAAGATCGCATTGACCGCAATAAGCTGCAACTTGCTCATCCTCGACCCTGACCGAGAAGCCGACAATCGGGAGGCTAGCGTGCTTGCCTAACACGGACAAACGCCACTGAGATAGCGTAATACAATTCAGATCCAGGGTCGGCAACAATGTTGAACGTCCGCCACAGATGCAACCAGTCAATGTCGGTGTTACTGAATCAGGGTGTTCGTACTCCAAAAAAGGAGCAGTATGAAATGACGCATTGTGAGTCAGTGCATTGCTAAATATCGAAGATGCAGGTCAACCTATAGGCAGCTGCCGGATTCCGCCTAATGTTGCTACAAGTTGAAGTTTTCTTCTAAACTTCGACCGCAGAATTCTTATTTGTTTAAAGCCGGGTGGCGTCCTTACAAATCAGCAAACAAACCGTTTAACCTTTTCTTAAAAAAGACCACAGTGCCACACGTTCTTTACTAACTAGATTGATGTTGGATGAGTTGATTTGATTCCCTATATTATTTCTGGGGATTAAATTTTCACAATAAAAAGAGGCCTTACGAAGACCCTTCTAATGGGCAGGCAAAAAACCTTGACTACTCGATTCATTTAGTCGTAAAAGTTGTTAGGGTGAAACTTGTATAGTTCAATGAAATCCCTACTTCTAACGATGAACAAGGGTAGCTGACATGCAAAATTAGCTCACATTTCTTAGCTGGGCAACTATTTGATATTGCTAAATAATGGGTCATACTTGAATCCTGATTATACTACGCTTTGTTAAAACAGCGTCTTAACACACGGCACAAAAGGAAGAACATTTACAGATCCAAAAGTGTTAGCGCCCAAAAGGAAATATGGAAAATTGAGAAGCTGCATTCTCTTTAAAGATAAATTATTAGCACCATATTAAAGAAACTAGTTACTCTAAATATTATGTGGAAGACCATACATCGGGAAACCACACATGATGCCGACAGTTTTGTCATGTCCATTCTCTTTATTTACACGCTTGTGATAACAACAGTAATGCAGGGTGGCGCCAAGTCCGGTAATTCAAGAAAACACAGTAGACTGAAGGTAGTAAGATCTAAAAAGACCAGAAGCTGAACGTATACAGCGACAGAAGAGTGGAATGAGATTGTTGCATTCATCGTTGAGCCATAAAGATGGAATCCAAAACGCTGCTCTGGTAACAGATGTAAGCGACTGCCACAACAGAGACAGAAAGACATACGATAACGTGTTTTGAAAAAAAGTAAAAGAATACACCAAACAAACAGAGAATACCAAGAAACTTTAAAAACTCAATTGTGTATGAAACAGTCCAGATTATTCTGTTTTTGGGCTTTTCCCGGCGACGCGTATCGGCCTTTCTTGGAGGAGGAGTTGGTACTTTTTTACTCGGTGCTGGTTTGACACACTTCCCAGCACGCAATGTGTAGCCGCCTTCGCAGTCGCAACGATAGGAGCCAGGCGTGTTCACACACTTTTCATGCTCGCCTCGACAAATATTGCTATCTGCGCTACATTCATTTATGTCTACACACTCTGAGTTCAATAGCTGGTATCCGGAGGCGCAAGTGAGGCAATCGGAAGAAGTGGGTCCATGACAGGAGGCACAGGATGGAGCACAGAGTTCACAATTAAAAGAGCCCTCTGTATTCACACAGTAAGTACCGGACTGACAGTTGTGGCTGTTATCGGAGCATTCATCGATATCCACACAATGTTTACCAGATTTGGAGACATTTGACTGCACAGCTTTCCAGCCAGCCTTGCAATCGACGCAGGTTGAAGCAGAAGCATCGGTACAACCTTTTAAGCATGAAGGATGACACGGCTCACATCTGGATCCATCAGGTCCTGGAACAACATAGTGGGTGCTTGTATTACAGGATTTACAGTCTTCCCCGATATAACCGTCCCGACAGATACATTTTCCTGAGCCAGTTCGAGTACCGTTTCCGTCGCAAAAACCGCCAAAAGACGAGCAAACAGGGCACGCTGCACAGGTAATTCCAAACTTGTTCCATGGACAGCAAAAATTCACAGAATGCACGCACACTGCCTCCTCAAGTTCTTCGATGGTTGAACGTCCAGTTTTTAGATTGTTTAGCCACCAATCCTCAATAAATTCTTCGATGTCGGATAATAAGCCATTAGCCGTGGAGGATTGTTCTTCAGCATAAACTTTCTCCAGGATTTCGTTTAGCCGAGTTTCACTTACAGAATAACTACCGAGAAAACGTTCTTCCCAATCTGTATTCCCTCCTCCAAAATTATGCAATGCAGTGTTATCGAAATGGTCACGAATTTTCGTCATTATGCTGCGACAAAGACTACATTTTACTTCAGAAGTGCTAAGTGATTTTAAGAAAATTGCAAAAATTAAAAATACTACGCGCATTTACTGTGGACACAGAAAATGCACAGACGAAGGTTATTTGTAGTCAGATGACACCAGTTCCGGTCGGAGGTATTCTGGTAGATGCGCTTTCTATTAGGACCTACAAATAAACGAAACCCAAGATGCTTTTCAGCGTATATATGAAAAAACCTGGAGGAGGACATTCAAGGCTAGGACAGCCAGCAGAATAATAGAAACGGGGCAGCAAAAGCCCTTACACTTCAAACGCGTGAAAATGTCTACAAAACGGAAACATTTAGCGGATAGGTTTAAGGCAAACCTGATAAATCTTTAACGAATGGGACAAAATGGACACAGTGAAAGCAGACGAATTTTACGAAGGCCCATAATGCGTACTTATAATTCGAAACCAGAAAGTAATAAACGCAGAGAAGTAGGTCAGGTGACGTCCGACCACTAGTGGATCTTGCAAAAAACTGTAAAGGGAGGCCCTTATACGAAAAGACCTGCAATCTTCTATCTGGCGCCTGCAAATGACAAGCAAACTGTGCATCACTTTTCTACTATTCCGACTGTTTGTTTGAGTTACAGACTAGTAGATTGTGGCCTTGTACAATTAATCTACATCATGTTTGCTCGTGCTGATGCCTTCTCCCTAAAGGTTCCTTTCACCAGACAACCACAATGAGCGGAAGAGATAATTTTAACTGGGTCGGCCACATGATTTCACAACGGAGTGGTTGGAGCATGACATGCCACGTCTGTGGATGCCTTCGTGTTCACACCGATAAAGGCCTTTGACGAGTAAACTTGGCCAATCTACCACGGATCACTATTCTGCTATCAGCATAAAAGCACTGGGATCTCAACTCCGGTCCAGCTTGTACTCAAAATATGCGCTTCTACCGAACTGGATTTTTCTATATAAATGCACATTTTTCATTAGGGTTTCGTTATAGACTTGTTTAACTTTTTCCACCTTGTTAAAAAAAGCCACTGATAGTTATATTAGCTGTCATACTTAATTTTCATGTGGGCATGTGAACTGGTTAGTATCCTGCGCACTAATTACTCTACACACACTTTTAATCGCCATTACCGACACCAGGAATAAATCAGTTTACTGCAGGGTGTTTATTCTCCTTCCGAAACGCTTGAAGGTCCTTTTTTTCACAATTTTTGTTCCAATTATTAAAATGTGTCGAAGATGCATTGACAGTAAGCTTTTTGTAAAAACAGTTCATTATATGGACGCCTATGGTAAAAGCTTATTCACTGTATGTGAGAAGCATGCTTTTTGAACCTTCTAACACTGAGGCTCATTCGAATCGTGTCGGTCAAGGTAACAGTCATTACTTTTCCGGTTTCTTTAATCATTGGTCCTTGTAATCAACTTGGCACCGTTGACTACAAATAACTCGTCTAAATCTCTGCAATATTTAAAGATGCGGCAATAACAATAAGGCAGCTTAAAGGAATACGTCCTCTGACCTGATTGGTTACGACAAGATAATGGCTTATACACGTCCCTCGCTTTGAATGGACAATTTAAAAATCTAACCTTCTGAATGATTTAACAAAAGTAAGGGATAACATAAAACAAAAATTAGTATGTTTTCACCAATGGCCAACATTTTACGCCGTAGAATTGTATGAATTAGCAAACCTTTTGCGACGAATTTGGAGGTATAATCAAAGGGATCATGTAAATTCTAACTATGGTAGCAATAATTATGTATTCAAACTTCGCCTGCGTAGTAGGCGTTAGGAACTGACAGACAGGTTTAATCGACTGTTCATCATGTTCTCGTTTCTTCATTTATCTGCTGCATCAGAATATAGAAGTTAATGTATAAGGCCAAATGAATCGGATAGAGCATTAAAACTGGTAATCTGCGAACACAACCTCTCAAGAAAAACAACTTTCCCCTTTAGGATGGTAGTAAGGTAGTTCTCTTTGATCCGGTCAGTTAAAATGAGGATGATGGCAAGTACTCAAACAATGCAGGCACCATCACAAACCAGTCTGAGTAAAAAATCCGTATAACGAGACTGCCTGTGAAGTAGAACGGTTTGCAAAATCGGGTACGAGCTCCTAAAAAGATCTCAAGGTCTTTGCCTGATGGTGCTTTACTTCATGCATTTCAATTTCTCGAATTAAATGCACCGTCATGGTTGCTGGCAACATTCACCAGCATCAACTAAGGTGTTTTGGAAGGCGCCCAAGAGGTGCATTACCAACTCTTTACAATTGCCTTAAACTGGCATAATAAACATATTATTATTATTATAAATGGTCGCGACATAAA